AAAAAAAAAAAAAAACACTACAGCCAACACTAAATTACCAGATATAGTCCCCAAGGTCCAACCCCTCATTCACTCCCTTAAACTAGGCCCCCTCCCATTTCCATCACCTCTGAATAATGCCACCAATTATGATCTCACCAAATCCATTAATCCACTGATGAAGTCAGAGCCCTAATGACCCAGTCACTTCAAAAGCCCATTCACTGGAGCTGGTTTTGGTGGTGCACACCTGTGATCCTAGCACTTGGGAGACTGAGGCAGGAGGATCACTGTGAGTTTTAGGCCAGCCTGAGCTACATAGTGAGTCCAAGGTTGACTACATAGCTTGACCCTGTCTCAAAAACAAAAAAAAAAAGCCCATTAGCTGGCAAGCAAGTATGCAATACAATGAACTTTGGGGGACATTTTATTTTATTTTATCAATTTTTCTTTTTTTTTTCCAGTACCGGGGATCGAACTCAGGTCCTTGTGAGGCAGGCAGTGGAACCACTGAGCTAAATCCCAGGCCCCTTCTTTTCTTTTCTTTTCTTTTTTTTTGTTGTCCAGGCTGGCCTTGAACTCACTATGTAGCACAGGCAAACCTCAAACTCCTGGCAATCCCCCTCAGCCTCCTAGGTGCTAGGATTACAGACATGTGCAACCAATCCTGGCTGGGGGAGACATTTCACTTATTTATTTATTTATTTATTTATTTGGTTGGTTTTTTTCAATTTGAGAGATTTCCATATTTTATGTTATTATTATTATTATTATTATTATTATTGTTATTGTTATTTTTGGTACCGGGGATCGAACTCCAGTCCTTGTGCTTGCACACCAGGTGGCGAAACTGATCTAAATCCCCGGCCCATTATTATTATTTTTTGAGACAGGGTCTCACTCTGTAGTTCAGGCTGGTCTTGAACTCACATGTAGCCCAGGCTGGCCTCCAATTTGTGGTGATCCTCCTGCCTCAGCCTCCTGAGTGCTAGGATTACCAGTGTGCGCCACCACACTCAGTTTGGGGGGACATTCTAGATAATAACCACAACACCCTCCACAAGTGACCTTCCAATGGAAAGAAGAAAAACTAAAAACTCAGCTAAATTCTCTCCAGAACATGACATCTTTGGGATCTGAAAGCACATTAGCTCTGTACTTTCAGCTGATCTATTATTGATGTTGATTCCACTTGGAAAATTTAAAAAAAGTAATATGGGTTTAAAATTTTTCTAGTCAAACCAAGGAGGAGAAGGTCACTATTTTGACACTGTCATAGAAAATGTACCGGGTTGCTTTGTGTGTGTGTGCCAGGGACTGAACCCTTCCTTATGCTAAGCACATGCACTATGCTCTGCCATGGAGCTACAGCATCACCTATGCAGTGTTTTGATTTACATTTTGGTTATTTTGGCCAATGTGATCAGATTAACCGAGGCACGTAGAACTATTGGGTGACTGGTCTCGAAGCCTAGTAGGTCCTGCAGATAGTGACCTGAGTTGTAACTGGTGATACCACTCCCAAATTGCTAAATGAAGTCACTTCACCAATATTTATCTGCCTCTAGCTTCCATCTTACTCTGGGCTTTGGGTCATTTCAAAATAGAAGGAGACAGTCCTTCATTCTGGAGTTCATGGTCTCTGCTAGATTATGTTCTAAGATATATACTAATTGATGCCTTATTTAGGCAATGCTATAGAATAGAGATTTTTCACTGGCACCATATTAGGACCACCCAGGAAGTGAGCAAATAGGCTCAGAGCTCAGGCCTCTTCACTCAATCAGTGAAGTCAGAATCCCTGGGAATGAGACTCAGGCATTTTGTTGATTGATTTAATCAAATATAAGATAATAAATATCATTGGAGGAGTCAAGTGGGTGAGCCCATTAGTCCACATATATTATACTTGGCTTTAGTTGTTCATATTCAACCAGTCACGGTGGTGGACACCTGTAATCCTAGCTACAGGGAAGCTGAGGCTGGAGGATCACAAGTTTGAGGCCAGCCTGGTCAAATTTGTGAGACCTTATCTCAAAATAAAAAAAGAAAAAGAGGCTTAGAGATATAGTTTAATGGCAGAGCACTGCTTAGCACGCACAGGCCCAGGTTCAACCTCCAATATTGAAAAAAAAGTAATTGTTCATATTAAATGTAAAAAACCCCCAAATTTTCAGATAGTTGTGAATCTATTTCTTCATAACCCACTACAAAGTATTTTATTCATAGAAGTGAACTAAGTTGATCCCTTGTGGTGAATGGAAAGAAACACAAATATCGAAGATGAAGGTGGGTCAAATCTACATTCATCATCATCATCATCATCATCATCATTATTATTATTATTATTATTATTATTATTATTATTTGGTACAGGGGATCGAACTCGGGTCCCTGCGCTTGCGCAGCGGGCGACGAAACCACTGGGCTAAATCCCCGGCCCTACATTCATTATTAAAAGTTACTTGCTGGGAGTGGGCCTATAATCCCATCACTCGGGAGGATGAGGCAGGAGGACTGTAGTGAATTCAAGGCCAGCCTGGACTACATAGTGAGTTCAAGGCTAGCTAAGCTATATAGGGAGACTCTGTCTCAAAAAACCACAAAGAAGTCCTAAATTAACGCTATTTGGGTGGTGATTCTGCACTCAGAGCTTTAGTGCCGTTTCTAACCACTTCCCTCTGAAAGAGAAAACTGTACCTGTGATTGGCTGAAGGCTCATGAAGGCTCAGGGGCCAAGATTCCAAATTCTCACCATGGAAGGCCGACAGGGGGCGCTCCGGGTGAGCTGGGTCCCTCAAGGATGGCTCTCGTAGGATTGTGGGATTTGTAGTTTTTCTTGAATTATTTTGGGTTCATGAACTACACTTCCCAAAATGCATAGGTAGCATGATAGTCCCACTACCGACTGTCAAGTGTTCCCTAAACTGGGAAAGGTGAGTGTGTTTTGTGCAGGTTGCAGATTTCTAAAAGTTGTTCATTTCTTGTTAGGGCGTTGCGTTTTTCCTCGTTGACGTTGGTAAAACCTGGACGAGAACAGTTGTTCCCACGGAACGTGTCTTCAGTAGGACTTCCCTGGCCTTTTGTTTCAGGAAACTCGACCAAGTAGTATTTGTTTAGCTGTCCGCGTTGCTGTGGAATGTCAAGGAAAAAGGCTAGGTCCTGAATTCAGGTCCGGAAAGCCAAGCATTAAATATTGT